CTAACACTACATTTTTAAACCTACCCCATACCTCTTCGACCCCATTGCCTATGCTCTCATTAGCCCATCTATCCTCCAATAGCTGTTTATATCTTACCCTAACTGCCTCCTCTTTTAGTTTATAAACCTTCACCTCTCTCTTCCCTGATGCTTCTATTCTCCTTGTACCCCATCTACCTTTTATTCTCAGTGTAGCTACAACTAGAAAGTGATCTGATATATCTGTGGCCCCTCTATAAACATGTACATCCTGAAGTCTACTCAACAGTCTTTTATCTACCAATACATAATCCAACAAACTACTGTCATTTTGCTCTACATCATATCTTGTATACTTATTTATCCTCTTTCTTAAAATATGTATTACCTATAACTAAACCCCTTTCTATACAAAGTTCAATCAAAGGGCTCCCATTATCATTTACACCTGGCACCCCAAACGTACCTACCACACCCTCTCTAAAAGTTTCTCCTACTATGACAATATATTAAATTATATCCTGTTTGTATGTATTGTATAGCACAATACTTTATAAAAAATTATTTAATGAAGCTGTGGTTAAGGTTTTTTCAAATGTGTTTAGGATTTGTTGCTAGGTCTAAGATATGAATGAATTTATCTCCACTCAGCATTCCTGTTTGCTTAATTTATATCTGATAAGAAATCCTTAACTGTTTTGAAAAACTAAATTTCATTTTTTCTCTCACTCGTAATACAGTGGACCCCCGGTTCGCAAAGTCATCGGTATCCGATAAATCCGGTATAAATCCGGTATCAGAAGCATTATATCGCAAAAAAATTGCCTCGGTTCCCGTTACAAAACCCGGTATGCGATACAGTTCGTACGAGACGTGTCCACGTGTGGCCTGAACTGCCCCATGTGTGCCAGTGTTTACAAGCCAGCCAGTGTGCGCGCATCTAAGGATACATTCGGTACATTCCATATTATTCATATTATCACTGTTTTTGGTGCTTGTTTCTGCAAAATAAGTCACCATGGGCCTCAAGAAAGCTTCTGGTGCCAACCCTGTGGTAAAAAGGGTGAGAATTAGTATGGAAATTAAGAAAGATTTTGAAGGGTTTGGGGCTAACCCTGAGAAGCCTATGCCAGTTGTGGAATCCATTGTGCCTACTTCAAAAATTAAGGAAATGTGTGCACAGTGGGTTGAACTGCAAACCTTTATGGATGAAAATCACCCTAACACAGCAATTGCAAGCCGTGCTGGTGACTATTACACTGACAATGTTGTGAACCACTTTAGGAAAGTCATAAAGGAACAAGAGGTACAGGTCTCTATGGACAGATATGTTGTGTGACAGAAGTCCAGTGACTCTCAAGCTGGTCCTAGAGGCATTAAAAGAAGAAGGGAAGTAACCCCGGAAAAGGACTTGCTAGCTCGAGTGCTAATGGAAGGGGATTCTCCTTCTAAACATTAAAAACTTCGACACTCTCCCCTCCTCCCATCCCATCAATCATCGCCAGATCTTCATTAAAGGTAAGTGTCAATTATTCTATTGTGATTATTCTATTGTAATTATTCTATTGCATTAAACTTAATATTTCATGTGGCAAGTTTTTTTTTTTTCATACTTTTGGGTGTCTTGCACGGATTAATTTGATTTCCATTATTTCTTGCCGGGAGCAATGGGCTAGTAACCCCTTCTCCTGTATACATTTACTAAAAAAGAGAAGAAGAAAAACTTTATAAAACTGGGATGCTTAAATGTGCGTGGATGTAGTGCGGATGACAAGAAACAGATGATTGCTGATGTTATGAATGAAAAGAAGTTGGATGTCCTGGCTCTAAGCGAAACAAAGCTGAAGGGGGTAGGAGAGTTTCAGTGGGGGGAAATAAATGGGATTAAATCTGGAGTATCTGAGAGAGTTAGAGCAAAGGAAGGGGTAGCAGTAATGTTAAATGATCAGTTATGGAAGGAGAAAAGAGAATATGAATGTGTAAATTCAAGAATTATGTGGATTAAAGTAAAGGTTGGATGCGAGAAGTGGGTCATAATAAGCGTGTATGCACCTGGAGAAGAGAGGAATGCAGAGGAGAGAGAGAGATTTTGGGAGATGTTAAGTGAATGTATAGGAGCCTTTGAACCAAGTGAGAGAGTAATTGTGGTAGGGGACCTGAATGCTAAAGTAGGAGAAACTTTTAGAGAGGGTGTGGTAGGTAAGTTTGGGGTGCCAGGTGTAAATGATAATGGGAGCCCTTTGATTGAACTTTGTATAGAAAGGGGTTTAGTTATAGGTAATACATATTTAAGAAAAAGAGGATAAATAAGTATACACGATATGATGTAGGGCGAAATGACAGTAGTTTGTTGGATTATGTATTGGTAGATAAAAGACTGTTGAGTAGACTTCAGGATGTACATGTTTATAGAGGGGCCACAGATATATCAGATCACTTTCTAGTTGTAGCTACACTGAGAGTAAAAGGTAGATGGGATACAAGGAGAATAGAAGCATCAGGGAAGAGAGAGGTGAAGGTTTATAAACTAAAAGAGGAGGCAGTTAGGGTAAGATATAAACAGCTATTGGAGGATAGATGGGCTAATGAGAGCATAGGCAATGGGGTCGAAGAGGTATGGGGTAAGGTTTAAAAATGTAGTGTTAGAGTGTTCAGCAGAAGTTTGTGGTTACAGGAAAGTGGGTGCAGGAGGGAAGAGGAGCGATTGGTGGAATGATGATGTAAAGAGAGTAGTAAGGGAGAAAAAGTTAGCATATGAGAAGTTTTTACAAAGTAGAAGTGATGCAAGGAGGGAAGAGTATATGGAGAAAAAGAGAGAGGTTAAGAGAGTGGTGAAGCAATGTAAAAAGAGAGCAAATGAGAGAGTGGGTGAGATGTTATCAACAAATTTTGTTGAAAATAAGAAAAAGTTTTGGAGTGAGATTAACAAGTTAAGAAAGCCTAGAGAACAAATGGATTTGTCAGTTAAAAATAGGAGAGGAGAGTTATTAAATGGAGAGTTAGAGGTATTGGGAAGATGGAGGGAATATTTTGAGGAATTGTTAAATGTTGATGAAGATAGGGAAGCTGTGATTTCGTGTATAGGGCAAGGAGGAATAACATCTTGTAGGAGTGAGGAAGAGCCAGTTGTGAGTGTGGGGGAAGTTCGTGAGGCAGTAGGTAAAATGAAAGGGGGTAAGGCAGCCGGGATTGATGGGATAAAGATAGAAATGTTAAAAGCAGGTGGGGATACAGTTTTGGAGTGGTTGGTGCAATTATTTAATAAATGTATGGAAGAGGGTAAGGTACCTAGGGATTGGCAGAGAGCATGCATAGTTCCTTTATATAAAGGCAAAGGGGATAAAAGAGAGTGCAAAAATTATAGGGGGATAAGTCTGTTGAGTGTACCTGGTAAAGTGTATGGTAGAGTTATAATTGAAAGAATTAAGAGTAAGATGGAGAATAGGATAGCAGATGAACAAGGAGGCTTTAGGAAAGGTAGGGGGTGTGTGGACCAGGTGTTTACAGTGAAACATATAAGTGAACAGTATTTAGATAAGGCTAAAGAGGTCTTTGTGGCATTTATGGATTTGGAAAAGGCGTATGACAGGGTGGATAGGGGGGCAATGTGGCAGATGTTGCAAGTGTATGGTGTAGGAGGTAGGTTACTGAAAGCAGTGAAGAGTTTTTACGAGGATAGTGAGGCTCAAGTTAGAGTATGTAGGAAAGAGGGAAATTTTTTCCCAGTAAAAGTAGGCCTTAGACAAGGATGTGTGATGTCACCATGGTTGTTTAATATATTTATAGATGGGGTTGTAAGAGAAGTAAATGCGAGGGTCTTGGCAAGAGGCGTGGAGTTAAAAGATAAAGAATCACACACAAAGTGGGAGTTGTCACAGCTGCTCTTTGCTGATGACACTGTGCTCTTGGGAGATTCTGAAGAGAAACTGCAGAGATTGGTGGATGAATTTGGTAGGGTGTGCAAAAGAAGAAAATTAAAGGTGAATACAGGAAAGAGTAAGGTTATGAGGATAACAAAAAGATTAGGTGATGAAAGATTGAATATCAGATTGGAGGGAGAGAGTATGGAGGAGGTGAACGTATTCAGATATTTGGGAGTGGACGTGTCAGCGGATGGGTCTATGAAAGATGAGGTGAATCATAGAATTGATGAGGGAAAAAGAGTGAGTGGTGCACTTAGGAGTCTGTGGAGACAAAGAACTTTGTCCTTGGAGGCAAAGAGGGGAATGTATGAGAGTATAGTTTTACCAACGCTCTTATATGGGTGTGAAGCGTGGGTGATGAATGTTGCAGCGAGGAGAAGGCTGGAGGCAGTGGAGATGTCATGTCTGAGGGCAATGTGTGGTGTGAATATAATGCAGAGAATTCGTAGTTTGGAAGTTAGGAGGAGGTGCGGGATTACCAAAACTGTTGTCCAGAGGGCTGAGGAAGGGTTGTTGAGGTGGTTCGGACATGTAGAGAGAATGGAGCGAAACAGAATGACTTCAAGAGTGTATCAGTCTGTAGTGGAAGGAAGGCGGGGTAGGGGTCGGCCTAGGAAGGGTTGGAGGGAGGGGGTAAAGGAGGTTTTGTGTGCGAGGGGCTTGGACTTCCAGCAGGCATGCGTGAGCGTGTTTGATAGGAGTGGATGGAGACAAATGGTTTTTAATACTTGACGTGCTGTTGGAGTGTGAGCAAAGTAACATTTATGAAGGGATTCAGGGAAACCGGCAGGCCGGACTTGAGTCCTGGAGATGGGAAGTACAGTGCCTGCACTCTGAAGGAGGGGTGTTAATGTTGCAGTTTAAAAACTGTAGTGTAAAGCACCCTTCTGGCAAGACAGTGATGGAGTGAATGATGGTGAAAGTTTTTCTTTTTCGGGCCACCCTGCCTTGGTGGGAATCGGCCAGTGTGATAATAAAATAATATTTCTTATGGGGAAAATTGATTTGCTTTCCGATAATTTTGCTTTATGATGAGCTCTCAGGAACGGATTAATAACGTGAACCGAGGGTCCACTGTATGTGCAGTAAACATGTATAAAATTTTACTTTATTTTTAAGGGTGAGCTTCCTACAACAGATGATACAAGTATTGCAGAGATGGATAGGCTTTGCAAGTATATTTATGTGCGGGACAACACTGACCGTTTGCGCACTCGTGCTGTGTTGTGCCATATTTACCATATGTCTCTCCATGATAAGTGGTACGAAGCACGTGACCTCATGCTGATGGCTCACTTACAGGTTAGTTGAGAAGACTCAGCTCAGTTATAGATTGTTTAATGCTATTTTGCTGTACGATAAAGCCTCCATAGCTCCCTGGATGTTTCTCAAAATTGGCACCCTTTGCTGTATGTGAAGTGAACACATGTGGAAAATAGGGTTACATTCTGGACACCAAATTTGTTTAACCACTTTCTTAATTATTTTACTAGGTGAAACTTAATATGGCTCACCTTGCATCCTGTTAGTTGTTACTCTAATTTGAAGTATGCTGTTTCCATTTGTTGCCCTGCCACAGATTTTGTCCATTAAATCCAAAATTTGTTAGACAGGTTTTACTGCTACGTATTTTATGAAGAGCTTTTGTTTCACAGAATCCTATTTATATCCTAACTTTTGAAGTTATTTTGTAAATAGCTATTGGTTTGGACAGTGCCTCTGCTCCCTCTCGTGGAATCCATGATGATATCCTGTCAGGAACCACTGCTCTTGATGTATCCCTTTTCATTAGAAGCCTTTTTATTTGTACCCTTGTATGTATGGTGTCCAGTACCTGCTGATGTACTCTTTAGGCTTTCTAGCATTGCCCCTGTTTCCACTGAGAAGTCCTCTTTAATTCATCTTTTCAGCAATTAATGGACTTCTTTGTCATTTTATGTGTTCACTCTTTCTTACATTGAATTACCTGGTTTCTTACTGTTTTTCTTCTGATAAGGCTGTGAAGCAGTTTTAGCTCAGACTTAGCCTTGGTTGCTATGTCATTCACAAATTGTCACTCATCATCTCTTCTCACCCTTGCATATTCATTTCTGGTTAACCTGCTCACTTCTCTATTCCCATCTGTCCTTTGCTTTCTATAGTTTTCTATGCTCTTATGGCCTTTTTTTTTTTTTTTTTTTTCTTCTACATTTTGGTTGAACCAAGGGCTCTCCTCCTCTGCCGTTACCACCACCACCACCACCACTGCCATTTGGCAATGTTGGTAAAAAATAAGTCACAGTTCCTTACCAAATTTTAACAGATTTATACTAAAGGTGAATGCATTTGAGAAATTAATAACCAAGTAAAATAATAAAATGGTTTGGGAGTTGTTGGTTTATAGGACCACCAAAGCTTATGCCATATTGTACCAGACGTTCTCACACTTCCCGCCTGAGTTAGCAGCCAACTTTCTCCCTGGTCATAGTAATCCCTAAATAAACATTGTCATGGTTTGTGTATCTCTTTTTTTTTTTTTTTTTTAAACTTCAGAATGCCTGTGCAATGCTGTCTGACATTTTTTGTGTTTATCTCTTAATTTGATTTTAATAATGCAGAATGATCATGTGGTCACTTCACAAAACATCATCTTTGGAATAAAATTTCAATCACATTATGTTGAAGTTGTGATTTGTAATAGTGCAAAATGGAGAGCCTACTGTAAAACTACTGTCTGTTAGGAGTTCTATGAACCATTTCATTTGTCATTGTTCTTTGTCAGCTGTTCCTCACTAGCTGTTATGAATGGAGTGAGGGGCCTGCACAGAGCAGGCCTATATAAATAGATAGCACCAGGCAAATAGTTGATCTTACACAATCTGTTATTGATGTACAAGCTGTACAAACAGATTTCTTTTTCTTTTAGTGGCTCATATAACCTGAATACAGAAAACAGTTTTTTGTAATTCACAACTAAAACACTTGGTAGCTTGGTAGATATGTAAGTGTTTAAGCTATCTATGTAAATGTGGCACCGTTTGGTGTTACAGAAAGTAATATGCACACTTATCCTTGATTGATTATTGTGGTAAACTTATTTTTATCTTTTTGCTATTGTCAAGACAATTTTACAGTTTGTCACTGTATTATAACTTTTTTGTATTGACAATTGCATTTTTATCCTTTGCTCCACATTTATGATTGATTACTTGATATTGCATATATAGAGAACAGATCAAGGACAGGAGACATGTCACTACCTTTTGAGTGGCTCTTAAGATTTTTTGCTTAAAATATAATTTAAATATTGTAAACAGTATCATTCTTTGAATAATTTAATTGCTTTTTTCATCAGGAAACCATTCATCATTCTGATCTACCCACTCAAATTTTGTACAACCGCACAATGGTTCAGCTAGGGCTCTGTGCCTTCCGCCATGGAAATATTAAGGACTCCCACAACGCTTTACTGGACATTCAGTCTGGTGGAAGAGCCAAGGAATTACTGGCTCAGGGTCTACTGCCTCAGGTTTGTATTGGGAAAAATTACTGGATGCCAAATTACTGTATTTATAATAATTTGTTATTCAGTAAGTAAAATGATGAATGGTATTTTCTTTCTCCTGACTGCTGTCATTGATGATATTGATTAAAAAGGTTATGCTTTAAATATGTAACTGGTATAAATATGAAGCTACATTTTTCCATTAACAGCGCCAGCACGAGCGAACAACTGAACAGGAGAAGCAAGAGAAACAACGGCAAATCCCATTCCATCAACATATTAATCTTGAAGTAAGTTCACCTTTATTATTTTTATATTTCTATATATGTATGTATTGGGAAATGCTGTGATGTTTTGGGAATATGAAGTTACAGGTTTGGAGATTTTTTGTAATTATGGAGAAATTACTGGATAAATGTGAAGGTAGTTTCAGTGGCATTTTCCATTTCCAGATGCTGGAATGTGTATATCTGGTTTCTGCTATGCTCATTGAAATTCCTTATATGGCTGCTCATGAGTTTGATGCTCGCCGACGCATGATTTCCAAATCCTTCCATCATCAGTTAAAGAATTCTGAGAGACAGTCTTTGGTTGGACCACCTGAGAGTATGAGAGAGCATGTTGTTGCTGCCTCCAAAGCTATGCGCAATGGTAACTGGAAGCAATGCAGGTATGGGTCTGTGTTACATAAAATTATTTTTATTAGGGTTGAACTATGGTAATTATTTATTCAACTTTTCATAAAGCCTGCCTAGGTTTTCATGCGTCCTTTTTTTTTTCTTCTTCTTTTTTTTTCCTGTATTTTAATTTTTCCATCTTCCACCAGTGAATATGTAAGAATTCATTCCTATTGTCAAGTCACTGAAATGCATCAAGAACACAGCAGGGCCTGACATTGCTCCTTGTGGGCCTTTACTACTAGTTCTCTCATTCTAAGAGTTGATTCCTCTTTCCTGTTATCCACATGATTGGCAGGTAATGGTTGGGGTTAGTATGGAATATTTTATAGTAGGGGAAGGGGTAGTTGGAAACATTTTGTCTGTATGATGTATGGGTGGAATGATTTTGTACCATAAGGGACTTGTGCTGTCATAGTATCTCAGGTTGCAGGATGGTATTAGATTTCTTCATGCTTAAGTTTCTCTTTCATTCATCTGGGAACAGATGCAATCTAAGGGTAAGAAGACAGGAGATATTGCTTTATATACTTTCATCAATTGAAATCATGTATGGTTTTCCATGAAGCTGATGATAATTTTATTGCTCTTTAGGAATCTGCTGCTGAATGACAAGATGAATGCCAAGGTGTGGGATCTGTTCCACGAAGCTGACAGAGTTCGCAAGATGTTAGGTGGCAAGATCCAAGAGGAGAGTCTGCGGACGTACCTCTTCACCTACTCTCATGTGTATGACTCCATCTCACTTATCAAGCTATCTGAAATGTTTGAGCTCCCTCATAGTACTGTTCATGCAATCATTAGCAAAATGATTATCAATGAGGAAATTATGGTGAGCTATTCATGTGTGTGTAATAACTAGTTACAGAAAAATGATTTTTAATGAATGTTTTGTTTGGAATTATTTTTACTGGAAACTTGTAACTTACATTTGTCAAGCTTATTATTTAACAGACATTTTGATCACTTAATTTTTCTGCTTTGGCTCCATCTTACATACAAATTTTATATTAATTTTTTTTAGCTTTTAAAGCTTTTGTATAATGAAGTAAAATATTATTACAGTTCTAGTAAAAAGTATTTGGTATATTATGAATTTAACAGAAAGATGCGAGTGATAATCTTCACAGGATTGTTAATATTCATTCAGCATCTTTATTCCTTTCTTGCTTACATTCTTATTTGTGAAATGAAGATATAAACAGCATATGTACAGTACACTCTTAGGTAATGCAATCCACAAAAATGCAAATTCAGCAACATGGGATTAAAAATGTTCATCCACAATTTGATTTCAGCGGAAAACTTATGTTTGTGCCATGAGTCGTGGGGTTTTCAGTGCTATTTCTGGCATCCTGAGCATCACTTTTGAGCCTCATTCTTGGAGCTGTCATTGGGGAATAGCACACATTGAATTTTGCATGGTAGTGAAGCATTTGGCATCTGCACGACATGGTGGACAATGGTATACTGAGATGGCACTGAAATTTTGTATACTGCAGGCTGACCACGGAGACCTATTCTCTCATGGCTAGGCCTACTAGGCCTCTCCTGCTAAATTTGAGGTCTCTAGAATTTATGTATAGATCTACATCAGCAATATTTGCATCAATGATGTAGATCTACAGACAAGACAGTGAAAGAATTAGGGTAAGGTAAAATTATTGATCCAATCTATTTAAAAAAAAAATTGCAATTTATGACAGTACAAAGAATATAACCCTATTTTCCCCATATATTCACTAATGCATTTTATAACCCATGCATTACTCAAGGGTCTACTGTAGATGATAGTCATATTTCTTTATTACTATTAAGTATTCATGCTTCAGGCCTCACTGGATGAACCAACTTCATGCTTGGTGATGCATCGTACTGAACCATCATCCCTGCAATCATTGTCACTGCAGTTAGCAGACAAACTTTACAATCTGGTCGAAAACAATGAACGTGTTCTTGATCAGAAGCCCTTTTTCACCCGCGGCATGCAGGTATGGAATATGAGTATTGTACTCATGACAAAATTAAGCTGTGTTTCAGGTTCTTTCGACACCGGTATCTTGGTATGATAGCTGTCTTCTGTCAGTTTTTTTCTTGCCAGATCTTTTTAATTTTTATGGATTAATACTTAAGAATATAGTTATGCTTTTTTGATCATCAGGTTACTGTTAAAATATATGGTATATTGTTTTATAGGTTCCTATTAAGTGTTGAATACAGTTTATGGTACACCATATTGAATACTATACATTATTTTGTTTAATTGGTAACCATTAGAAGCGAGAAAAAAATAACAATACAGTAGGGCCCCACTTATACGGCAGGTTAGGTTCCAGGCTCCCGCCGTAAAGTGGAACACCCTTTTTTTCCCCTTATAAATGCATATAAATACTAGATAACAAGTTTACACTAACATATATTAAGTTAGCAATAGAACTAGGCATCAAAAAATAAAAAAGTACAATACACACATAGTGCACTCATTACTTACCTTAAAATATTTATAGTCTTAATCTAGGGTGAGATGAGTAGTATTTATTGTAAGAAATCAAGTGTGGTATGTATGGTAGTCAGCCGGGCTACCATACCAGGCCACCCCACCTACACATAATATTCTATTACATTTAAGCATCCCAGAGCGATAAAATGCATATACAGTTTACTCATTACTTACCTTAAAATATTTGTAGTCTTAATCTAGGGTGAAATGAGTAGTAATTATTGTAAGAAATCAAGTGCGGTATGTATGGTAGTCAGCCGGGCTACCATACCAGGCCATTCCACCCACACACATATTGTGATATTTAAGCATCCCAGAGCGATAAAATGCATATACAGTTCACTCATTACTTACCTTAAAATATTTGTAGTCTTAATGTAGGGTCAGAGGTGAGTAAACGAGATAAAACGAATAAATGAGAGAGAGAGAGAGAATGAGTATATGAGGGAGGACAGGCACAGAGTTATGTAAACAAACCAGGCGAATGTAAGTTTTGTAAACAAACAGTGTACACGTCTGGTTTGTGTACAAGTTACATTGTGTACAAGTTGTCTCTACATTGATACGGTAGAATAAATAAAGAAGAACACTAACATTCTCATGTAACACCATTTTTAAAAGAAATGAAGCTCTGAGTGAAGGCAATGGAAATAAGTCACTCTCTGACTTTTTTGGGTTATCCCAGGTTCTCTACACATATGCTGTTATGTATGATAATCTATGTAACTGTATTTGTGTATACCTGAATAAACTTACATACATGGTTGTTTAATATATTTATAGATGGGGTTGTAAAAGAAGTAAATGCTAGGGTGTTTGGGAGAGGGGTGGGATTAAATTATGGGGAATCAAATTCAAAATGGGAATTATATATATTCTTCTTTCAACATACCAGCCGTATCCCACCGAGGTGGGGTGCCCCAAAAGAAAAAACTAAAGTTTCTCCTTTTAAATTTAGTAATATATACAGGAGAAGGTGTTACTAGCCCCTTGCTCCTGGCATTTTAGTCGCCTCTTACGACACGCATGGCTTACAGAGGAAGAATTCTGTTCCACTTCCCCATACATACATCTTTCTTTCAACACACCGGCCGTATCCCGCCGAGGCGGGGTGGCCCAAAAGGAAAAACGAAAGTTTCTCCTTTTACATTTAGTAATATATACAGGAGAAGAGGTAACTAGCCCCTTGCTCCCGGCATTTTAGTTGCCTCTTACAACACGCATGGCTTACGGAGGAAGAATTCTGTTCCACTTCCCCATGGAGGTAAGAGGAAATAAACAAGAACAAGAACTAGTAAGAAAAGTAGAAGAAAACCCAGAGGGGTGTGCATATACGTATATGCTTGTACATGTATGTGTAGTGTGACCTAAGTGTAAGTAGAAGTAGCAAGACGTACCTGAAACCTTGCATGTTTATGAGACAGAAAAATGGACACCAGCAATCCTACCATCATGTAAAACAATTACAGGCTTCCGTTTTACACTCGCTTAGCAGGACGGTAGTACCTCCCTGGGCGGTTGCTGTCTACCAACCTACTACCTAGACATACATACATACATACATATATATATATATATATATTTTTTTTTTTCAACAAGTCGGACCCCCGGTTAACGATATTTTTTCATTCCAGAAGTATGTTCAGGTGCTAGTACTGACTGAATTTGTTCCCATAAGGAATATTGTGTAGTAGATTAGTCCATTTCAGACCCCCCAAACATACATGTACAAACGCACTTACATAAATACACTTACATAATTGGTCACATTGGGAGGTGATCGTTCAGTGGGGGTCCACTGTATATGTATATATATATAAAAAGTACTTATAATGATATTGTAATAGTAACATTAGTATAGAAGTATAATGAGAAAGTTTTCAGTTTTGCTTTTGATTTGAAGTAAAAAAAAATTTAATTTTACTTGCTAAGGAAGCATGACTATGGGGAAGGTCGAGTACACTGTATACTCTTTCTTTACCGATTGTTCTCTGATTATTTTTAGGTCATCACTATGTAGTATCTGCTTCATATTTCAAGCATCATTTCCTTTTCAGCTATATATTACCCTTGCTGTCTTATACTCTTGTATTTATTCTTTACTTTTTGCAGCTGTTTGAGGCTATTTCTTTTCTAGACATTTTTGTGTTTATTGGGAAAAAAAGAGACTGCTTTACATGTGATAATCCAGCCAATATGTGCAAATCTTTTGTGCTATTTACAGGGAACCGTCCAACTTACAAATGCCTGGATAGAGAACATCTGCACTTTCAAATGGGGCACTTGGGACCAGTTAAATTTTTTCCTATTACTGATTTGTATCTGTGAACATGTGATAACCATCCTTTGTACTATTGGTTTTCTATCAAAAAATAAATTCTGAGTTACAATCGAACCTATTTGTTAGTTGAAACATCTGGAATGCATCTTGTTTGTTTAGAACCTCCTCTAACTTGATACACTACTTAATCTTTCTTCTTTTCCTTCAGAATATGCATCGCTGCTTATATTTTTAATTAAAATAAATACATAAGTAGACCAGCATGTCTTTCATCTTTGCTGCTTATTAATTATGGCTGGATTTTGCAGGGTGGTGGGTACCGTGACCGCCGGGAGAAAGGTAACTGGAGTGACCGTCGAGACCGTCGGGACAGGGACAACCAGAACATCCATCGGCGGGACCGTGATTAACTGTAACTGGTGTGTATCGTTACCCTATCAGAAAGCACTGCAGTGCAATAAGGGTTGGTAAATTACTCAGGATGAGAAGTTATTTGTAACTTAGTGTAACTTGAAAAAAAAAAAAGGGGGGGGGGGAAGCTTGGAAGACAATGTAAAATTGGAAGCTCTTTCTTGAAAGTAATGTGAAAGTGAATGGATATATTAGGAATATGACATCCTAATATAAATTAATATAATAAGTCCTAAACCTGGAAGGGTCATTTAGCACTGCAGGGAGGAATCTGCAGAGGTTAGGAACAAGTGAGGGTCAAGGGTTAGTTGGGGTAATGAAGAGTGCAAATAGTAAAATAAAATTAAGTTGGTGCAATAAGTTAGTTTGTTAAAAAGTCAAAGGTGTGATTTTCCACACCAACATTTTCCAACTTTTTATTATGTAATGCTGTAGTAGGTGCGTATTGAAAGAACACACTATGCAAATTTAATAACTAGAAATTTCAATTACTTTCCAAAGATCTTGAAATAATTTCAGGTACTATACTGGTGTTTTCCCATGATATTGGCCTTTTCATTAGTCTCATGGTTTTAGTAATTTTCGGGCAGGGATCTCTTGAGAAACTTTTAAGTCTTTTCAACTTTGATAATTTTTTTTTTTTCCAACAACCGGCCGTATCCCACCAAGGCAGGGTGGGCCAAAAAGAAAAACTAAAGTTTCTCTTTTTAAATTTAGTAATTTATACAAGAGAAGGGGTTACTAGCCCCTGGCATTTTAGTCGCCTCTTACAACACGCATGGCTTACGGAAGAAGAATTCTGTTCCACTTCCACATGGAGATAAGAGGAAATAAACAAGAACTAGAAAGAAAATAGCAGAAAACTCAGAGGGGTGTGTATATATATGCTTGTATATGTATGTGTAGTGTGACCTAAGTGTAAGTAGAAGTAGCAAGACGTAACTGAAATCTTGCATGTTTATGAGACAGAAAAAAAGAACACCAGTAATCCTACCATCATGTAAAACAATTACAGGCTTTCGTTTTACACTCGCTTGGCAGGACGGTACTACCTCCCTGGGCGGTTGCTGTTTACCAACCTACTACCTAAATTTGATAATTAAATATTATAAGTAAATTTATTATGTGTTCCAAGTTCATGTACAACGATGAATAAGGCACGAATAAACACGATTAGTTAATGAAGGATAAAGGTCAGCCATAAATATTGTCTAGTCCTTTGCATCATCTTAGATTACCAGGTTAAAGTATTATTACAATTATGGGGGAGTGCTAAACCCATAGGATTATACAGCGCATGGGGGGATGGCAGGTATTCAGGCTCACTTTGGAACCGGAGCACAGATCCAATTCCCTAGATCAAGAGCCCTTTACCAGCATCAAGGAACCTCCCTTGAGGGGTACCAGGTTAAGGTTGAACTTGATTAGGCACAAGGATTCACTTAATGATGATGATTTGGAGTTTCTCTTTAAATGTATTGTGTTGGCTCAGAACTGAGTTTTCAACTACCCACTACAATGCTCAATGTTTGTGTGTCATAAACAGATGTTAGGTTATGCTGTCATTGGCTTTCTGCCCTTATCACATCATCCCTTGTTATGCAGAAAGTATCCTGGTGTTGAAGCAGAGAAATAAAGTTAGTCATTAATGGTGTTGACCTTACAACATATCCCTATCTAAACATATGCAACAGATGTAAGGAGGCTAATGCTCAGGTACCTATTTCCTGTTAGGTGAACTATATATAAGATTTTTGTATACATCTTGCCTTGCCTATTGTGGCTTTCATGCTGACCATGGTGCTGTTCCAGTACTGGCAGAAATGCTGCTGATGCTGAAAGTGTTGATACTAGTGGTGCATATTGTTAATGTATGTTAACAGAATACAACTGCTCACCATGGTCAGTCAACTGACGGGAGTACAACTTAAATGTTTCTCTTGTCTGTAGTGGTTAATATATATTTTTTTTAACACTTCAGCCATTTCCCACCGAGGCAGGGTGACCCAAAAAGAAAGAAAAAAGAAAAAAAAAAACTCATTCAACACTTTCACCATCACTCTCACATAATCACTGTCTTTGCAGAGGCACTCGGATACGAGAGTTTAGATGTCCCTCTAAACTGCCAATATCCTAAACCCCTTCTTTAAAGTGCAGGCATTGTACCTCCCATTTCCAGGACTCTAATCCGGCTAACCAGTTTCCCTGAATCCCTTCACAAAATATTACCCTGCTCACATTCCAACAGCTTGTCAGATCGCACCTCTTCAAGGGGGGCTCCTTGGCGTGGTGAAGAGGCTCTTGGTCTGAGGAATTAGACCTGTCGGTCTACTTCCTCAGACCGAACCTAATTACCCCCCAATCCCCCGTTCCCTATCCCATCCTCCCCTTTTTCCTTTCCTCCTCCCCACCCCTCCCTTTTGCCCTTCCTTTTTGGCCTTTTTTTTTTTTTTTTTTTTTTCTCCACAGGCACGCTAGTTCCTAGGTAGGGGAAAGGATACCGGGGTCCATCCCATTCCATTGAGGTTCTTGGCGGTGGCGTAGTTTGCCGTGGAATCTGGATTGCCTGGGGATGTCCTGATCCCTCTCCGGTATCCCAGAGGGTGGCTTTGGGTGTCTCTCAGACGACGGGTGTATCTCTGGAAGCCACCTTTCGGATTCCGGGGGTGGTGGCCGAAGGAGGTATGCTTTGTGGCGGATTTCCGGCCGCCCTCTCTTTTGTCCACCGAGGTAGCTCGGCAGATGTGAGGTTGCTCGGCAGATGTGAGGTTGCTATCCCGGATTGCCGGTTTACTGGCATGATGGGTAGGGTATGGCACGGGTTCCATGCTGCATCTGCGCTACTTGCGGTGCTGAGGTCCTCTTGGGTGCGGAGGGAGATTTCTGGCCCTTTCATTCCTCCTAGGAACTATCCCTCCCCGGTCCCCCCTTTTTATTCTTTTTTTTATTTTTTTTTCTTAAAAACAAAAAGAAAGAAGTAACCTAACCATGGCAGCCCTAGTCCATGAACCTGCTACCCCCGGGCCCCTCTTGATACCGCACCCCGTTCTGACCCCGCCCCGTCTTTGGACCACTCTTCGGACACTCCTCATGCCTCTGTACCTCTTGCCGGTGCTGTTTCCTCACCCGCTTCAGGTACTGAGGCCTCGATTGACTCCTTCGATTTATCTGACCTTCGCTCTCCTCTGACTATGCTTCCGGCCTCTCCCTCTACGGTGCGGCAATTTTCGAATCGCCGGCCCGTTCCACGTCGGACCAACTCTGGTCCCACGCCTAAACGACAATGAGAATTACCTGCTGATGATACTTCTCCACCTTCTCGTTCTTCTCAGAAAAGATCGACACGTCCTTCACTACCTTTCCACGCTCAGTTTCAGACTGCACAATGGACTAAATTCTTCACTTTACAACCGACTTCCTCTACTGCCTATCTTTCTGACCACAGTATTGGCAAGGCACTCTACGCCATGTTGGTAAAGATATTTCTTTTCATGCTCTTAAGAGCGGTACGCGCATCGTCACCATACAGAATGCTACCCAGGCTCATGAGCTTTCTCGTCTTTCTCATATCAATACTGTTCCTGTAACTATTGAAAAGCATCATTCTCTCAATTCTTGTAGTGATACCATCATTCTGCCCCATACCATAGTTCAACAAAATTTCCAGACATGTGGCACTGACATTCTTGAACAGCTGGAACTCCAAGCTCTCCCAATCCTCAAGGTAGACACTTACATTCTTCCTGCCTGCGGGCGGAGACGATACCCTAGCAATGTGGCTCGTTTAACTTTTGACAGCCGTGAACTCCCATCCTCAGTTTATGTAGCAGGACATCGGTTACAAGTTCGAAAGGTGATCCCTACACCGCAACAGTGTAGAAATTGCTGGCGATTTGGCCATCCAGCGAAATATTGCAGATCTATCGCCGAATGCCCAGTCTGTGGTGCCGATGACCATTCTAATACGTCTTGCAATCGACCTCCCTCTTGCCTTAATTGTCATGAGGCTCACCCTTCGTACTCTCGCCGTTGTCAAGTCTACTTAAACGAGCGGGAAATCCATTACCTCAAAGAGGCAGAAGGTCTCCCTTTTTCCATGGCAGTTTCTCATCTCCGCCTCCAAGGGAGACTACCTCATGTTTCTTATTTCCGTGTTTCAAAACGTCCCCCCACTTCTGGTATCCCATCTTCTGCACCCACCTCTGTGGTTACCTCTCCCATAGTCACTCCTGTAGCTAATTCTTTTGCTGTCCTCGGCTCAGACGTCCCTACTTCAACGTCTCAGTCTGATCTTGCTTCTTCGTGTTCTCTCTCACAAGCCTCAGTAGCGACGAGATCTCGTATGACGCCTCCTCCCAATCGTCCCTCTACTTCTCAAAAGTCAAAAAAAGGTCTGTTAACACCTCCTACCCATCTTCCACCACCTCATTTTCCCTTCCCTGTCTCTGTACCTGGTTCTCCCCCTCTCACTGGCTCTGTTACAAGTGTAGAGGTTCACCCTCCTCCTCGTACTATACCTTCCTCCCCTGTTCCCTCCCAAGTTTCTTCCTCTTCTGCCACCTCCCAGGTTTCTGCCTCTTCTGTCCCCTTCCACGCTTCTCCAGTTCCCTCCACCCTTCCGTCCCCCTCTACCTTGGTACAGTCCATTACAGTTCCAATCTTTACTCATCCTCCCCCTACCATTTCCAATATTGTCTCCCATACGACATCTCTGAATTCTGAAACACTTGAAGCAATCTCTGAATATATTGCAGAGACCAAACCATCAATGGACACTGATCCACCCTCTGCTCCTCCTCTCTCCTCTACTCCATCTGCGCAACTCCTTTCTTCACAGCGCACCGTTCCTTCGCTGCTTGAACGTTTTCCACTGCCTCTGCATGTGGACTTTTCTAACCCCTCTAGTCCGTAGGAACCCTTACCTGCGGATTTCAGGTATCTTTATCATTGCCAATCATGGCCTATTTACAGTGGAATATACGCGGCCTCAGGGGTAATCGAGGTGAGCTTCAGATGTTACTCTCCCAGTTTTCCCCTGTTGGTGTTTGCTTACAGGAACCAAAATTACACTCTGCTGTTATCTCTCCCATCTCAGGCTATAATTTATTGTATTCTTCAGATCCTTTTCCTGATGGGACCTGTAATGAAAGTGCCCTTCTTCTACGCACTGATATTCCGTACCATCAGCTATTTGTTCGTACTTCGCTGCATTACACAGCAGCCCGTATCCACTTGCATAGGTGGTATACGCTCTGTTCTTTATCTCTCTCTCTCCTTCTCGGGCATTATCTATTCCGGATATTGCCTTTCTTGTTTCGTCATTACCACCACCGATTCTGTTACTTGGTGATTTTAATGCCCACCATTTCCTCTGGGGGGGGTCTCACTGTGATTCCCGTGGCATTCAGTTAGAGGCTTTTCTTGCCACCCACCCCCTCCATGTTTTAAATACAGGTACTCACACCCATTTTGATCCTCGGACTCACACTCTCTCTTACATCGATCTCTCAGTCTGCTCTTCCTCTGCCGCATTAGACTTCACTTGGTCTGTTCTTGCGGACTTACATGACAGCAATCATTTCCCAATCATTCTTACTTCCCCTTCATATTCACCACCTCTTCGCATCCCCCGCTGGCAATTTGATCAGGCAAATTGGAACCTTTACTCACACCTAACTGTTTTTAGAGAGGTTCCTTCTTCGTCCTCCATCGATGAGCTTTTACACCTCTTCTCGTCCTCCGTTTTAACCGCAGCTTCTCATTCTATACCCCAAACTTCGGGCAGGCATTCTCAGAAATGCGTGCCTTGGTGGTCTCATGCTTGTGCTCGTGCAGTACGTTTGAAATGCGCTGCATGGGGCAGGTACCGGTACAATAGAACCACAGAGAGACTTCTTGAATTTAAGCAGAAGCGTGCGACCGCTCGCCGTGTCATCCGTGACGCTAAACGCACTTGCTGGCGAGATTATGTCTCCACCATCACCTCTGCTTCCTCTATGAGTGCAGTCTGGAAAAAACTACGAAAACTGAGTGGTAAATATTCTCCTGACCCGGCTCCTGTTCTGCGGGTTGCCGGTGTTGATATAGCAAACCCACTAGATGTTGCCAATGAAATTGGCAATCATCTGGTCTGTATTTCTCAGGGACTCCATCTATGCCCCTCATTTCTTTCCTCAAAGTCTGCCAGAGAGTTAGCACCCTTGGACTTTTCTTCTCTCAGAGAAGAACAGTATAATGTGCCTTTTACACTTCAAGAACTGGAGGCAACACTCTCAGCTTGCCGATCATCGGCAGCTGGGCCCGACAACATTCATATCGTATGCTACAACATTTACATAAGTCAGCCCTTGCAGTCCTATTAGCCTTTACAATCTTATTTGGTCACAAGGAGTTCTTCCACAGCTGTGGAAATCCGCCATTGTTCTCCCTTCCGCAAACCAGGCACTACGGGATATGAAACCTCCCTATCGTCCCATTGCTCTTACCAGTGCAGTTTGCAAAGTGATGGGAACGCTAGTAAATAGACGTTTAGTGTGGTATTTAGAGACACACAACAGTCTCTCCACTCGTCAATAGGGGCTTTTGTAAGGGAGTTCTACCATAGACCCCTTACTACACTTGGATACGTATGTTCGTAATGCCTTTGCGAATACCACTCAGTTATTGCCATATTTTTTGACCTTGAGAAGGCATATGACACAACTTGGAGGTATAATTTTTAGCCCAAGCCACTCCTTAGGCCTTCGAGGCAATCTACCATCCTTCCTTAAGAACTTTTTAACTGACAGGCATTTCCGTGTTCGGGTTAATAATGTGCTCTCCCCGGACTTTATCCAAGCTGAAGGTGTCCCCAGGGATGTGTTCTGCAGCAAACACTTTTTCTCCTTGCTATTAATGATTGGCCTCTAGTCTTCCATCAATATTTGGTCATCACTATGTTGATGACTTCGCTATTGCCTGTGCAGGCGCTGACTGTCACCTTATTACAGTTTCTCTCTAGCATGCAGTCGAACGTGTTTCCAATTGGGCCACCACATGTGGGTTTAAATTTTCCAGCACTAAAACCCACCAAATTACGTTCACTAGACGCTCTGTCATCTCCGATCATCCTTTGTACCTCTATGGCTCCCGTAACCCAGAACGTGATACAGTCAAGTTTCTGGGCCTCCTCTTTGATCGTAGGTTATCCTGGAAACCTCACATTACCTCTCTGAAGGCAACTTGCCACAGCCAGCTGAACCTCCTTAAAACCCTTGCTCATCTTTCATGGGGAGCTGATCGTCGAACCCTCCTTCGCCTACATTCCACCCTTATCTTATCGAAACTTGATTATGGTGACCAGATCTATTCAGCGGCATTCTCCTGCTACTCTCTCTAGCCTTAACCCATTCATCACCAAGGATTAGTTTATGCCTTGGTGCTTTTCGCTCTTCCCCTGTCGAGAGCCTCTATGCAGAAGCGAACGTTCCATCCTTATCCGATCGCCGTGATGCCCATTGCCTTCGCTACTATGTACGCTTTCATGATCTCCGCAATCCTTTATTTATAGAATGGTCACTGATATTAGTAGACATTCTTTATTTGTTCGCCGCCCGTTTACTCCGTCCCTTCTCTCTTTGCCTTCATTCACTCTTGTCTTCTCTTCAATTACCACCTTTCTATGTACATGTAGCATCTCACTTTTCCCTACCCCCCTGGGAAGTTCCAGCTGTTCGAGTCTGTTCTTTCTCTCTCCCTTGCTCGAAAGCCCAACTGTCTACGGTCGCTTCCCGCTCTCATTTTCTTGACCACTTTCACTCTCATTCTCATGCCATTGCTGTGTACACAGATGGCTCTAAGTCTTCTGACGGCGTAGGATTCGCAGCAGTGTTTCCGGACAGCGTCGTACAAGGGCATTTACTATCTTCGGCTAGTATTTTTACTGCTGAATTGTATGCCATCCTTACAGCACTTATCCGTATTGCATCTATGCCTGTGTCATCATTTGTGTGTTGTCTCAGACTCCCTTAGTGCTTTACAGGTATACAAAAATTTGATACACCTCACCCCTTAGTCCTCCGTATCCAACTTTGGCTACGCCGCATCTTTACCAAGCATAAAGATATTGTTTTTTGTTGGGTCCCTAGTCATGTTGATGTACAGGGCAATGAACAGGCAGACACTGCTGCACGGTCAGCAGTACATGACCTACCAGTTTCATGTAGAGGTATTCCATTTACGGACTATTTTGCTGCAATATCTTCCCAACTTCACACCCGTTGGCAACAACGTTGGTCTACTATGCTCGGCAACAAACTTCAATCTATTAAACCGAGTATAGGTTACTGGCCGTCTTCTTATCACCAGTGTCGAGGTTGGGAGACTACTCTCTCCCGTCTTCGCATTGGCCATACTTGTCTTACTCATGGATATCTCATGGAGAGGCGCCCTGCTCCTCTCTGTGGGAATTGCCAAGTTCCATTATCAGTCAGCCACATTCTGTTGGACTGCCCACTTTATCAACGAGCACGCAGAATTTACCTCCGTCGTCGTCTTCGCTCTGCTGCTCTCTCTCTACCTTCCCTTCTCGCTGATGGACCCACCTTTCATCCAGACTCTCTCATCGACTTTTTGACAACAACTGACTGACTTCACAAATTCTGATACCTTCAGCCCTTTCTACTTCAATCTCTTGCTACCCCCTACCCCCGTACTATCCCCTGCCCCCGTACTATCCCCTGCCCCGCTGTTTTCTGTAACCTACTGATCATCCCTCCTCCCTTCTGCCATCCAATACCCTAGCTTCCTTCCCTACCCTGCAGCGCTGTATAGCCCTTGTGGCTTAGCGCTTCTTTTTGATTATAATAATAATTGTCAGATCGCAAAAACCACTTGTCTCCATTCACTCTTATCTAACACGCTCACACACGCTGAAAGTCCAAGCCCCTCGCCCACAATACCTCCTTTACCCCATCCTTCCAACCTTTTCTGGGACATCCCCTACCCCGCCTTCCTTCCCCAATAGATTCATACTTTCTCCAAGTCATTCTGCCTAGTTCCATTCTCTCTAAATGACCAAACCACCTCAACAGCCCCTTTTCAGCCCTTTGAGTAATAATTTTAGTAACTCCACACCTAATTTCCACACTACGAATTCTTTGCATAATATTTACACTACACATTACCCTTAGACACGACATCTCCACTGCCTCTTGCTGCTTCCTTGCTGCAGTATTTACAGCCCATGCTTCACACCTATATAAGAGTGTTGGTACCACTATACTCTTGTACATTCCCTCCTTTGCCTCTATGGATAATGTTCTGTCTCCATAGATACCTCAATGCACCACTCCTCTTTTTTCCTTCATCAGTTCTATGGTTTACTTCATCCTTCATAAATCCATCTGCTGACAAGTCATCTCCCAAATATCTGAAAACATTTTCTTCCATACTCCCTACCTCCAATGTGATATCCAATTTTTCTTTAAATTGTTTGATACCCTCATCACCTTACTCTTACTATATTCACTTTCAACTTTCTACCTTTACAAACCTGCCTTGCATATCCTGCCTAAACTCCAGCAGAGCCAGTCATCCACATCCTACCTGAGTTAGAGACTGGCTTTTCCCAGGCATTGGTTTAGACAGGTACTATGTAGGACTAAAGACAACACTTAAAATGACTACCTAATGGATGAATCATTAATATTTATCTTAGTATATTTTAGATAAAAATTAACACTATGAATTTTACAGTTGCTCCTAATTGCTGATGCCAATTTGTATTTGCAGGTCATGGCAAGTGATGCTACATAGGGCATACCATGAGGCAAAGGATGTGGAATGTGTTATGTCATCATCGACCACCTGCTTTCATCCTATGAAAGATGTTTTGGGGCCCACTCATTTGTTGAAAGTTGCAATCACATTACTTAGGTTATAGCACTGAAGAACAGGTAGTCTACAGAATCTAAACTCTTATATTTGACTTGTAAGGATTCTACTCTTCTTGTCATTAAAATATTAGCAGTACTCTGGTTATTTAATAAAACAAACTTGGCTTCGCTTTTTGTTTAGGCATTTTGAATAATTTGCTTTGGTTAGGCAAGTTAAATTATTAATTTTTTTTTTTTTTACTCATGATTGCCAGAGCTTTTGAGAATGTACATCTAAAAAAAAATTGCTACATTTTTTTATGAATACACCTGAATAATACTTTGCAGATTATTTATACCTGGATATATTAGGTACTTTTTTATTTTCAAAGCCTCTGCATTAATATATTAAAAAATGGATGTAAATGGTTATTTTATTGAATGGTTTAACATGTTAGGTTTTATTATACTGAGCATACTTAATACTTTCTAACTGGTACTTTCACACAATGTGTGGGCCCCAAGAGTTGTAAGAACCCATGTCCTTAACCTTTTATCTAAATTTGAAGATCTACGCAGTATTTAATTCTAATACTTTTTTGGAATTTATATGCTAGCATACTGGAAAGTTTTTGTAATAGTATGCCTAGAAATTTGTTATAATTTGGGAACATTAAAAAGTCAGCTGATACTTCGATTATGCACTATTTAATTTTTATTGTATTGTCTCTATTCTTTGTATTTTGGTATTAGAATAATTCCCTCGTCATATTTTTGGTGATGGCCAAGACTTCATTGCAGGTTTTTTTTTTTTTTTTTTTTTTTTTAAGTACTTCCTCCGTAATTAAATCCTGCTGCATGTATTACTAAATCAAATTGTTTAGTGTACAGAAGTAATTATTCAGTGCTAAGATGTGTATTATGAAAGTAAAGCTTTTCTTATCCTACCTCGAGAGGTCTTCCTTAATATTAGCAAAGAATTGGAGCTACTCTCCCCTTCCACAGGCAATGCATGACCATTTGAAGGTTAAATGTTAATGGCAGTGTTTCATCCACCAGTTCTCAGAGATGGATCAATTCCTTCAATTATACTGGTGAGACAAGAGGTGGAGATAGGCTGTTGATGTTTCCTGAGTAACATCACTGCAGGTAAGTGGAAACTTTGAAGCTTAAAATTAGTGGGTCAATAAGCTGACTTCAGTACTTTCTCCATATAGTTTTATGTAATAGTGTCATATTCAGTGAGAATAAGTTTGGCCAGTATTTCATGAAACAGAATGAACCTGAATTGTGTGTGATTGTGTTAGTCATGGCAGTCAAAGGAGATTCTAAGCATAGTCTGTTCCTGCTGTAGTATCTAGTTTGGTACTGGGGAGGCTCATCAGATGGTTGTTTCAGTGAATAGTGCAGCTATTTGTCATTTCTCTGGCAGGTATCTCAGCATTTGCTGATGCTCATGTTTAGGTTTCTAGGAGTTTTACCACCATAAAATTTTGCACAGTCTCCACAGGGAATAATTTAGATGGTGGCAGTGGTGTCTTAGGATGTTTTCTTTTTAACCAAGTTCTTTATTGTGTTGACTGTGGTGGCAACCCTAATGATGACTTTAGAGATATTATTGTGTGTTGTTGACAAGTAAATTATGTATCTGCTGGGGCTGGAATTTTATCTGACATTATGTAGCTTTTCTGCAGCCAGTGAAGTGTTGAGGAAGGCTTTATTAATGTAATCACATTGATCAGGACCCACATTCCTAGAACAGTAATCACTCATAATTCTAGAAAAATGCAACTACATAAATGAAACCTTTGAACTTTGCTCTCAATACTACTTCATCAGTGACTAGAAAAAAAAGTATACTACATAGATACACAGTTCTACCTGTCGACAACACTTGCAATACCCTTTCCAAATCCTTAAAGCCAACTAAGTGTTGCTTCCATTACAAGACTTCTTTTTAACTGAACCCTTAGTAGTGTTCTAGGCTATGGTGGCAACCCTGATATTGGCATTAAGGATTTGAAAGGGGTTATTGCAAGTGTTGTAATCTTGCCTGGCATGGTGTAACATCTCTGTTCTCTCTCCTGCAGTTTTTGATGAAGTGTGGATAGCAAAGTTCAAAGGTTTTGTTTATGTAGAAAAATTCTAGGAATGCAGTGACCCACATTTCTAAAAGGATATAACTACATTAATAAAAAAAATCTTCCCTGAACTTTACTATCCACAACACTTCATTACTGAGAAGAAAAATTAAAATACTACAGTACATAATATAATGCCAGATAAGATTCCCTACACCAGCAGGCTGTGGTTGCCACCATAGCCTATAACACACTAAAGAACCCAGTTAAAAGGAAAACCACATTTAAAGACACTACCAGCACCTACACAATACCCTATGAAGGCTGTACCAAGATCTGTGTTGGTGACACTTCTAGGAAGAAAGAAGCTAACAGATGCATGACAAGAATGAAAAGGCACAATACAGTGACAAACAATATACAAATAACCCCCCCCCCCCACCACCACACACAACAGAGAAGCTTACAACGACATTTCAGTCTGTCTTGGACCACTTACTTTGTAAATAGTCCAAGATGGTCTGAAATGTTGTCATAAGCTCCCCCTTCTATGTGCAGGTTGTGAGCAGATAAATGACGAAAGATACCTGTACTACTGAGAAACATCTGATGAACTTCCCCAGTGCCAAACTAGTTACCAAATCAACAGACATGCCTAGAATCCACTCAGTGCCACAATTAACTAACACCACAATTCAGGTTCATTCCTAATTTCTAAAATGCTAGCAAAGTTTTTTTTTGTCACCAGATACAACTATTACATAAAAATACATGGAGAAGTACTGACCCACCTAATTTTTAACTCCAAAGTTTCCACTTGGCTAAACAATATTACTACATGCGACATCATGCATCCATCTCTAGTACATACGCTATTTTTCCCTCTGAGAATTGATAAAATCCCTGATGGGGCAATTCTTAGATGCTGTCAACTATAGTGTCCTAACACAGGTTTAGTACTAATCAAAAGTAATGTTGTCACAGACATCCCAGTAACTGTTACAAGGAACAGAAATGCATATCTTGGTACATTGAATATTATTTATTTTAATTAGCTGCTTCCATGCTTTTAAATATCTATATCATGATTGACAAGTCATACAGTATCATTCAAGAGTAAAATATCCAATGATTGGCCATAATGAAACATATTAGCCAATACAAAACAATTTTGGTAGATGGAGAGAAAGACAAGACATTATTGTAAAGTAAATCAATATTTTGGCATTAAACTTTCCAAGTGTTTTGCTGTCATTCCCCTCTAGGGAGGTTCCTTGATGCTGGTGAAGGGCTCTTGATCTAGGGAATTGGATCTGTACTCTGGTTCCCTGAATTGAATGAATACCTTCCATCCAACTTGCATTATACAATGCAAGTTGGATATACAATGCAAGTTTAGCATTCCCCCATGATTATAATAAAAATTTGCTGTCATTGTATTTTCTATACAGGACCCCTCAAGGAAGGCTCCTTGACGCTGGTGAGGGGCTCTTGATCTAGGGAATTGGATCTGTGCTCCAGTTGGATCTGTGCTCCAGTTCCCTGAATTAAGCCTGAATGCCTTCCATCCCCCCATAGGCGCTGTATAATCCTACGGGTTTAGTGCTTCCCCCTTGATTATAATAATAATAATCTATACAGGAGGGCCCTGCTTTACATTTTGCTAGAGCAGCAGTTTTCAATTACTCAAAACTTCTTACAATAAATATATTCATTCGCTAAGGACGAAAATTTTTTAAAAGGCAAGTAATGTGTGTACTGTATATACATGTTTTAGGCCTAGATCTCAGTGCTGTATGATCTTTGTGGGTTTAGCACTTAGTTATGATTATAATAGGCCTAGCTCTATTGCTTCCTTATGCTGTATAGTCCTTGTGGCTTAGCACTTCTTTTTGATTATTATAATAATAATATTGCTTCCTTAATATATGATAGTGTAAACATGTTACCAGGCTTTTGTGCATTTGAAAGTGTGTATATATATCTAATATACATACAAATTAGATCTATGTACATGTATATATATAAAGTTTCACTACAGCAGTAGCCCGAAACCTAATCTACTGTACGAGTGGGGCCCTCATGTATACTAGAGTAGTACATTGTTATATGTTCCCAATTATGATTCATAATAGTGATGGATTTAGTGCCAACATGTCAATCTACACTACAATAACTCATGAAGATTTTTGTCTCCCACTTACCAAAATTTTAATTGAAGTTCAATCCTCTATTCACTTGTATATTTCACTACACAGTCCTCAAGATTCATTTGCCAAAGAGCAATAATACTATTTTCTCTTGCTCTCTTTGCCTATTTGTTTTAGCTTTAAAATTATAGTAATAAAGAACAGACGAGGTAAAGTATACACAAGGCACTGCTAAGCAAAAAGAACAAGCATCACCTCAGCCAAAATCTGAGTTGGTGAATGAATCTATTCCTTAATGTTTCATCTGTGGGAATGTGTGGATACTGTCTTCTGCATTTGTGGGTCAGGCTCAGAGCCCAATATTATGGGTACTTTAACTTCTTTTAATTCTGATCACCCCCACATCTGCATTTTTATCCTCTAAATTTGGTGCTTATTGTCTGCTGTGTAATGCCTCGTGCAATAACATATGCATGTGCTGTGTGTGTAAAACTCCTACAAACTGATTTGAAAAATATTTGATTAAGATCAGCTTGTCCAAATTGCTATAACTGCAGGATTTATATTTTCAATGACTTGCAAATCAACCACTTAAAATTCTTTTGTTATTCGTAAGTGTCGATTTAAGTTGCCAATCAACAACTCACTTAAAATATACACACATAATCAAGTATAATAAGTATTAAGAGTATTTTGTTATATCCCGTATTTAGTGCGAGGATAACACTTGGTAAACAATGCTGGTGAGCTGGGCAGTGGATAATGCCAGAAGCATAACAGCCACAGTTAGCTTTAGTGATGTTATCAGTGTAGATATCATTGCAGCCCTGGTCAGCCTTAATGAGGCCAGAAACCTGGATGAAGACAAAGGATAACTGTCGTCAGCCTTCCAGTGACATCACAAAATGATCAGATTTGATTACCAACAGTAATTCAGAGCTGTACATACCATTCACCAACGAAAATGATGAAAGACAACTTCAACAAATAGTCCTTCATTTATTCCTCATGGCTTATCCCTCGAATCCACCAGCAAAGTAGCTAGTGAAAGTAAAGGGGCATATAATTTCCTGTATTTACATCACTTACAGTTTCTTGATATTTGAGAATAATTCTTCACTGATCCTACTAAGGTACAGCCAACTAAGGCAAGTAAAATGACTACCTCACATATTAGTGGACAGAGGATAGAGAACCATGCTGTGCTGAATAACCCACAAGAGTTTAATGCTGCACATCGCAGGGTTAGGATGTTCAAATGATTCTTCCCAAAATTCTTGTGATCCTCTCAGCTCACCTGCTGACACTTGCCTCGAGGATCCAGCCGGGTGCCCTGGGAAAGAAAGTTCTTTAATGCTCAGAGAAAATATGAATACTACTGTAATGGGCTGTTTATGTACAGTGCTCAAATTTTGAGCCACCTAAATCAGGTTTGGCACACCTTATAAAGCTTTGCTCAACTTAGTCTACAAAGGAGGCTTCATGATGATCAGGTACTTTTGATTCAATGAATTACTTTTGTCCCCCATCCCCAAGGAGAGGGCCTTCATGTCAAGGAAGGGCTCTTGATACAAAGAACTGACCTTATCGGCGCTGTTCCTTGGAGCGAGCCTGAATGCTTCCCATTCCCCAGGTGCTATATGATACATAAGATTTAGTACTTCCTCCCTCATTAAAATAAAATTTGAGCCTTATTACCTCCCATTCCCCAAGTGCTGTATGATCCTTAAGAGTTTAACAGTTGGTTCCTCCTAAATAAAATTCACTCAACCTATATTATCAATATCATGTTTACACTAAACCCCAAAAATTACTAAATTATCTGGCCTTATTTCTCTATGGTCAAATAAGTTTCATCTTGAAGTGAGGAGGTCAGATATACCTTGCAGTGATCTTTCTAAGGGAACCTAAAAAGCCAATACCTATTTAGTGTTGATTTAAAAGCAACTGTCTGGAAAGATTGAATTGTATTATTATTATTACAATCATAACTAGTGCTAAACCATAAGGGTCACAAAGCTTGGAGTTATTAATTGGGAAGGACTGAACCTGTAGTCTCTCACACCTGGGGAATGGGAGGTAATCAGGTCCAATTCCTTTGATCAAGAGCCTTTAACCAGCATCAAGATAACCCATCATGAAGGGTACAAGCTTAGAAATACTAGATAGAAGTTTTAGTCAGGTACATCAGGCATATACACCAAGAGGTGTGTATGACACTTATTACATTCATGGAAGAGCACTAAACAAGTAGGTCATACAGTGTCTGGGAAAGAATGGGAGGCATTCAGGTTCAAGCCAAGAAGGAAAGGGCACATCAAATTCCTTAGACCAAGAGTCCCTCACTAGCACTGAGGAACCTCCCTTGAGTGGATGACAATGTAAGGAGTTGCTCTAAGTGAGGTGGATCCTCAGTACTGGTGTGCAAGAAGTTACCGAGCCCCTGAGCAAGTCATCATATGATCAAGGCCCATTTAAAGAGAATTTTTCTAAACAAAAATATACCATTACTTAGTACATAAATACAAGTACAGTGGACCCCCGGCATACGATGGCATCAGCATACGTTAAATCCGGCATACGATACATTTTAACGCAAAACTTTTGCCTCGCTTCACGCGATTCGTCCGAGACGCGTCCCATGTGTGGCCTCAGCGCCAGTGTTCACAAGCCAGCCAGTGTGGTCGCATCTACTCATACATTCGGTATATTTAACATTATCCCAGTGTTTTTAGATTTTGTAACTACAAAAGTCACCATGGACCCCAAGAAAGCTTCTAGTGCCATCCCTGTGGTAAAAAGGGTGAGAATTAGTATGGAATTGAAAAAAGAGATTAAGGAAATGTGTGCAAAGTGGCTTGAAGTGCAAACCTTTATGGATGAAAATCACCCTCACATAGCTATTGCAAGCTATGCTGATGGTTATTACAATGACAATGTTGTGAACCACTTTAGACAAATCATAAAGGAACGAGAGGTACAGGCCTCTATGGACAGATATGTTGTGCGACAGAAGTCCACTGACTCAAGCTGGCCCTAGTGGCATTAAAAGAAGAAGGGAAGTAGCCCCGGAAAAGGACTCGATACCTCAAGTCCTAATGGAAGGGGATTCCCCTTCTAAACAATAAGTTCGACACTCTCCCCTCCTCCCATCCCATCAATCATCACCAGATCTTCATTAAAGGTAAGTGTCATGTATTCTATTGTTAGTAGAGTACTATTTACTGTGCATGTCTTCTTCAGTTTGTGTGCCTTAAACTTAATATTTCATGCAGTAACTTTTTTTTTTTCATACTTTGGGTGTCTTGCACAGATTAATTTGATTTCCATTATTTCTTATAGGGAAAATTAATTCGCCTTACGATAATTTCGGCATACGATGAGCTCTCAGGAACAGATTAATATCGTATGCCGGGGGTCCACTGTACTCTGCCCTTATAAATAAGGCAAATTAAAACAATGCAAATCTAATAGCAGAGGAAATCACCTGTGGGCATGTTATGGTGGGTGGGCGAGGAGCGATACTGTTGGAACCTGCACCTGCTCTACGGCGATCCCGTTCCTGTGGGATGAACTTTGGTCGACACTTGTAGTTGTAGTCTCTCTTCGCACCAGGTTTGCAAGCACTCAGTAAGGGTGCCTGTATAATGCCACCACCCTCCCCCAGCTGTCGCCTTCCACGGTTACGCAGGTATTTGGGCAGAGACATCTCTGATGAAGACGACTGTTGCGATTCTTCATCGGCATCCAGCCTCTCTCCAGAGATGTCACTATGAGAGTTTTGATCCCCATTGCTGTTTCCAATGCTGCTGTGACTGCCATTAGCAGTGGTGTTGCCATCTGTAGGTAGTAACATAGCTGGCCCATGGAACAATGACACCTTCGGTTTCTTTCTCTTTGTTTGGGTAGCATTAGACATACTTGGTTTCTTCTTCCTCCGGCGACCACGCCTCTGCCCACGCTCTTGCCTGTTTTCATGTTTTGTCTTGCCACGTACTCCATGACCTTTCTTTCTCCGTCCATGACCTTTCTTCTTTCCTTTGCGACCTCTAGAGCCTCTGTTCTGCCTATGTTCACCTCTAGAACTTAAGTGTGCACTTGTGTTCCTCGAGGACAATGTTTGCTGCACTACCACTGGGGCTGCCAATGCTGTTTGGTTCACCTGCCACAAAGATGATTTGTGTATTAGATTTTAATAATATATGAAACATAAGTGAAAATTTTTTCAAAAGACCATCAAATCTTGCCAATATGTTTGTGGACTACATTTTTAATTTTCACCATGAACACTGCTATTTGTGGTAATGTAAAGTATCCAAACTGTTACAATATCTATTCATAACTTTCACAATAAAAGATTTCATGTGTCTTTGACCATCTCTCAGATAACTCTTGCTATCAGAAAGAAAAAAAGTGATAAACTAATGAACTTTCACTATCAAAAGTACAACTTTGTCAGAATTATTGCAATCAAAACAAGCACTCTTCAATAACCTGCATCATCAAAACCACAAATTGTCTCCAGTAATAATGACCATGAAGACAACACCTATCATAAATTATTTTCAACATCAAAACCAGTCTTTCACTGTCAGTACAAGCATTTTGATATTTTTTCAACCTGACAACATCCCTTTTGAAGTATAAAGTCAGCAATTGCTGCCAATCAGACAATCATTTTATTTGTAAAACACCTCTATGTTAACAAATTCACTGCTAAATAATCGCCCTATATTACTGCCCTTTGAATCTTGCAAGGGTCTTTTATTTTCCAATATAGAAAATAAAAAATTTAATTATCTTACCTTTACAGAATGTTTTATAGTTTTCTTCGGCAACCTCTAATACACTCACCCTGACAATACTGCTGTGGTCCAAGTTTCCTCTCTGTGTGGAGTGGATAGAGTGCATCGTGCTGCCACTCACTATTCCAACTTCTGTTCGGCTTTTAGTGGCACTATGGCTTCTGCTTTTCTGATTCCTGGACCGCGCCCGATGCCGGGTTGTACCCCGAGTTCGTGTGTTCTTGTGGGGTCCTCCAACATCTGCTGGTCCAGGGGACAATGCAAGGGCTCCAAGTGTAACTCCTGTGGCATCACTACCATCACTGTGGTTTCTCCTATTTCTGATGTGGCGGTGGTGCCGGGTGCGATGGTTGCCTCTTCTAGGTTTGGGAGTCCCCCATCGGGAACGACGTGGTCTCTTTAATGTATAGAAACTACGGGGAATATCCCGGGTGTCGAGGAAAGGTACCACTTTATGACTAGGGTGTAACCGAGAACCTCCTTCAGGGGTCCCAGACACATCCCTCCTTGTCCTTTTGATACCTTTCACCTCCAGTTCCCAGTCAGTAAGGTTCTTAATGATGTATGACACCTGTTGACATTTGAAAAGGAATGTCAAATGTGGAAAGAGCAAAGCATATAACTATTTTTGGCAAAGACTATGATTATAAGCACAGGAACAGACCATAGTGAACATAAATATCAGTAATAATACACTGTCATGGAAGATGGAAGGATGAAAGCAGATGTGGATGCCAAGGTGGTAATGAAACTGATACTGGATTTGCATCACTATGTCATGCTTAAACACTTGAGTGTGTAAATACCAAGTTCTCCAAGAGATCAGGGAGTTGTAAAAATAGGAAATGAAGTAAAAATAAAAAAATGTATGAAAAAACTGAAATACTGTAAAGATGAAGTTTTTAATAGAAACTGATATGCACAAGGCAGGAAGTTATGGTTAAAAAAAAAAAATTAAAAGTACTGGAAGATGCAGGTGTGGGGTTGCCTCTTCAATGGGGGTACCTTGACAGTGTGAAGCCTCTTGATCCGAGGAATTATTACATTAATGGGGACCTTAGGTCAACAGTGTTTGGGAAATGAAAGGCAATCCGATTCGATCCAAAGGAAGGTTAGCTATTTCTTTGGACTAGAAGCCTTTCACTAGCATCAAGATACTTACTCTAAGAAGATCCAAGTATTTGAGAGCTGATTTTGTCCCCGTTCCTTAGGAAACATACATTTCTGTGCTACTTTTCCTATCTTCATTGTTACAAGCCTATAAACTATACCTAAGCTTGTGTTTTGATCTTCCCATCTCCTGTGGTAGTCACTGTTTGAAATCAGCTGCCCCATCAGCTGAACAGTGCTGACCCCTCAATGGAGGTCCTTTGACACCAATCAATGAATTGGAGCTGACCTCCCCTTCCTTGGACAGAACCTGATTGCTCTTTGACTAAAACAAGGCTACAAGAATGGGGATTACACATCTGATACTTCCCGAATATAAGAGAATGGAAATGGTATGAAAGTCAATGAGTGAGATGGAGTACTTTGCATGACATGATAGTGGTAGTAGTAAAAGCAGTGATTGTAGTTTGATAGTAGTCATATTAAGAGTAGCATGTGTTCCAATAGAGGTAACTCTGGTATGACCTGGCAGTGGCGATAGTATAACTAGTTGGTATAACTTGGTAGCAGGTGACCTCATAGCGGTAGTAGGCAGAGCAGTAAATTATGTAATACATGTATTTGTTTCTTATTACAGTAATGCAGGCTAAATCCCTAGGGATCATACAGCGCCTGGGAAATGGGAGATGTAACCTGGCAGTGATAGTAGTAAGCACAATATATGTGACCTGGTACTGGAGGTATCTGTTGTCCTGGGCAGCAGGGAAAGACATCTGATGGAACATGAAGGATCTGCGGGGACGCACAAGGCCAGCCTCCTGCAGTGACACACATGTAGCCTCCAGCTGTTCTGTGTCATAGCCAAATCTCTGGCCTCTTTTGCACGGCCCTTGCTGCACCAGTATTGAGAAAGGAAGGAAAAAAGGACGACATTAATTGTTGGAGGTAAACGAACATTATGAACAGCCTGCCGGGAAAGATTACGTCATTGCTGTCTTGTCAAAAACGTTATCATTTGGTTGCCAAGCTTGGGCACTTACAAAATTTTTAGAAATTAGATCATATTTTTCTATACTGCATTATGTAATTTTCTAAGCCACAATAACAAAGATAAAGCATAATATAAACCTCATTGAAGCGATAACAGGAACCATCCTTCCGTGGGGCATAGGGGAGTAGATCAGGCCACAAGTCACTGTTGACATGACCGCAGGGATCAGCTTTACAAGTGAGGGTTTTTGTTGTCTTGTCAAACTGAAGGACAGAACCCTGCTGGCAGTAGGCTGGCTCATACAGAAAGTAGCAGGTGTCATGGGGGCCAGGGAACATACCTAAGGGACAAGCACACACATTTATCCCATACACCTTATCATTCTTAAAACAAACAAGTGTCAAGAATTTAATATTTTAGAATAGTCTGTCACACACCGAGGTCTGAGTGGTCAATCCCCAGTATGAATGGAAGCATTACAACGAGTTCCCTTAAGGCGCCTGTTATCCATGTCCATCTATCAGTAAAATAGGTACCTAGATGCTAGTTGACTGGTGCTGGTCGCATTCTGGGACAAAACTTACCAGAAATGCTCTGCATAAAAAGGGGCTTACTATAGAGTAGTATGCCACTGATGTTAGCTAGGACTGTATACACTGTACATGTACTTTTAGAAATAAAGCTTATAATTCATATCATTTAAAAAGTTAAATCAGTGTGTGGCAAGTCTCCAAAGTGTGTTGTGTTTATAGGAAAATACTTGTCAAATAAAAATGCAATGGACATTCACTACTGTGCAGCAAGGAAACATGGGTCAATATATCAACAGTATCACTCCACAAATGGATGAAAGTCTCTCATATGCCTGCACATGCATGTACAGCCATTGGATGTGTGACAACTTTTTAACTTCCCCAGGTAGTGAACTCTTGGGCTCAAATATGTAGAGTTCTCAAGAATGTGCAAAAGAACACCAAATGTTTAATTATACGAGGTGATTAATAATTGTCTACAGAGAAAAATTGTTCTTAACACACATTATGGGCACACCTCTGGCAAGACAGTGACAGAGTTGGTGATGGTGAAAGTTTCTTTTTTTGGGTCAGCCTACCTCAGTGGGAGACACCTGATGTGTTGAAAAAAGTATTATGGGAAGAGTAAAATATGTAGGACAGGACCTAGGAAATAAAAGCAATCAGGTTCATTACAGGGAAAGGGAAAACAGATCCAATTCCTTGGATCAAGAGCCCCTCACCAGCCTCAATGCACTTTTGTTGCTAGGTACATAGGAAGGGGGGTGGATGCCTTGATGTCTATGAAGGACTCCTGATTCAGAGAATTAGATCTAACCTCCACTTATTTACATCAAACTTAATTGCTTCCCATTTCCTAGGCACTATGGCCCTTATGGGTTTAGTGTTTCCCTTCACGAATTTAATAATATTCTTGGGGTATTACCATAGAACATATCTGAGCCACTATGCAGTGGGGAAGAATTTTACTTAGTAGTTTGGTGCTAAGTAATTTCATATATAAATAACTGGATTGGGGAAATGAAAATCCTGATTGCTGAACCAAACTATCAAGTGTAGAACTGTTCACTAAGCACAAATTTAGCAACTATAAAACAGGGTTCAGTGGCACTGTATGACTATTACACTAAATAGGTTACACTTGATACTGGCAAGTGGCTCTTGAGACAAGGAACTGGACCAGACCTCCCCTTCCTTGGATCAAACCTAACTGCCTCCACTCCCAGCCTTCCCAGTCACTGTATGCCCCAACATTTTACACCCCCATCAATGACTAATAATATTTGAGCTCTGAGTTTAGCACACTTACTCTTGAACAATGTTTTTTTAACACACCGGTCATCTCCCACCGAGGCACAGTGACCTGAAAAACGTTTTTCTTTTTTCACATTCAGTATTTTATATAGAAGGGCGTTACCAGCCGCTTGCTCCCAGCATCGGAGTTGCCTCTTACAACATGTATGGCTTATGAAGGAAGGATTATTCTTCACTTTCCCATGGAGTTAAACAACAAGTTAATAATTATGGACAACCTTCAGTGGAGTCTCCTCGAGACTGACGGGCTCTTTACCCAGCAAATTGTGGTTTCTCTCCTTTTCCTTGTATCAAATCTGATTACCTCTCATTTCTTTGGCGCTGTTTCACCCCTATGGGTTTAGTGCTTCCCCATAAAACATATTAATGATTACAGACACTAGCAATAAGTAATTTTCTTTTTATCTCAACAAACATCTCCCACTAAGGCAAGGTGACAAAGACAACACATTAACCATCATCCATTCACTCTCCATCTTGCCATAAGTATGTGGACATGACAATTAAGATTACCCTGTGGCTGCAACATTCTCACCCCTCCTTCAGAGTGGAGGCACTGCCCTTCCCATCTTCAGGACTGAAGTCTGGTTAACCATTTCCCCTGAATCTCTTCACAAATGTTACCCTGCTAATACTGTACCAGCAAGTCTCCATTCACCCCTATCTAACATGCTCAAAAAGTTATTATTTTCTAAGGTATAACTGTAGAAACATTTAAGTAACTGCTTGACCTTCGGGACAGTCACAGACAGCTTTTCCTGAGGCTGTGAGGTAGAGGCGTCTGTTACCAGGACAGATGTCGGCTTCATTAATATCATGGCACATCTGATCAGCTTCAATATACACAAAGTTGTCAGCACAAAGTCGTGGCACACACTCTCCCTGTTCAGTAAAACGAACATATTAGTTACAATGACCAAAATAAAGTATACATCTTACTGAAAAACTTCACAACTGAAAATGTAGAGTAAAATTTTCATCTTAAGTACCTTCACTAATGTTAATTTATTAAAATATTTCTCGTGGAATGACAAGCTAAAGAGAAACTAAAAAGTTTCATCACATTCAAGGGAAAACACTAATTTCATAATCTCTCAAGGCAGATGCACTAATGCTGATATGAGGATCTTGATTGAAGGAACTGAAACTATCCTCCCTTTCCTTGGATCCAGCCTGATTGCCTCCCATTCTTCCAAGCACTGTTTACCCCTGTAAGTTTAGCAGTCGCCCCATTAAAGTAATAAATTCACAGGGGTCTAAACAGTGTTTGAGTAACTGGAGGAAATCAGGTTCAATCCAATGAAGGGAAGGGTAGTGACGATTCCTCGAATGAAGAGTTCTTCACCAGTATCAAAGCACCCCTTTCCCTTCAAGGGAAGGAACTTCTCATTAACAGCTTAAAATTGGTTAACACTCGTGAAAGAAAAAATGGAAAATTTTTAGACCCCCATACACAAAGGTAAGGCAGAGAAATTAATCATGCAACCATGTTTAATAAGATTTATTTGGTGTACTTTAAGCTCAAGTGACATATTCCCTTCCAGGAAGGTGCCTTTTGCTGGTGAATGACTTGTTCCAAAGAATGAACTATTTTCCCTTTCTCTGGAATGAAGCCGACTGCCTTCAATTCTCCTGGCATTGTATGACCCTTATGCGTTTAGCGCTTCCCCATAAATGTAATAAAAAATTAATTAGTGGCATATGTTTGTGGGGAAAGCATGAGGACACCTACCATGCGGGTGTCCTTGTTGAGGAGGACCCAGTGCTTGTAGGGGCAGGGCTCAGCAGACAGCAGCTGGGCACAGCTGTCATACCCGAGGGGCACCTCATCCCTGTCACACCCATCGTCATCCTCGTCCTTACCTGTAACGACATGCCTCCAAGTTAATAGCCAGAGGACAATGGGCGAGGGGCACTAGTCACCGGGGTTCAAATCTACATTAAAATGGAGGCATGGGTCATGATGTATACATCACTAGTTAAAGGGTACAGGTCACTATTTAAGGGACAAGTAATGCTGTATAGGTCATTACTAAGTGGCACAGGTTAGTCAAGATCACATGCAATGTTGGGCAGAAAATGCCAGATGGGGATGGAAAGCATTAGTTACAGATCTTTCACGCACTCGTGCTTCGTCAGGAGTTATGCAATGTTGCAAGACAGCATCTGAGGCAAGGCAGAAGGTATCAGTGGCGGCCTATAAGTCACATGGGCTGCCACTGATACTTTCTGCCTTGCCTCAGATACTTTTCCCTTCTATCTGATGCTGTCTCGCAACACTAGATAGCTCCTGATCATGCACGAATGCGAAAGATCTAGTGCTAAAGATTTCCATCCCTTGTGACGTGTTCTGCACTGTTAAGATCGCTGATTTTTACTGGATTGCATGCTATGCTGTGTGGATCACTACTTAAGAGTCCCCTCCAGGGAGGTTCCTTGATGTGGGTGATGGACTCTGAGCAAAGGAATTGGCCCTTGTCCTCCTTTTCGTTGAACTGAATCTGATTGCCTCTCATTCCCCTTCTCACCCTCCTGGGCACTACTGCTGCTATGGGTTTAGCTCTTCCCACGTAATAATAATAAATCACAGATCAAGGCGTATGCACAACTAAGCACAGGTCATAGTGTATGAGTAATTAGTAAAAGACAGGTTACTGGTTAGGATGTCTAGTCATGCTATACTGTTCACTTGTTAAGCACAAGTCATGTACAGTTCACCAGGTAAGAAGCACAAATCCTTAGTGGAAGGGGTAGCGCGTCAATTTTAATAATACAAAAATAAAAAAGATACAATGAAACTATAGCCAATATTAATTTTTGGCAAGAAATGTTATCTAACGCTAGCAACACTTCTGAAGCTCTTGAAAGCGGAGCTCTTTAAACTTGCCTCGAGCTTGAACCTACTGGAGGAAACTTACCTAATACTGGGATCTGCCCGGGAAGCATGGGGATGGGGGAGTATGGTTGAGGCGAGACAGTCCTGGGGATGGGAAAAAGCCAGATCTTTGGCGGGGTGCTGGGGTCAAGGGTGTGGTCAGGGTAGCACTGAGCCAGCTGCGCCACACTGTATGCCAGGATGATGCCCGACGCCACACCGCTCAGAGAGATGAACGAAGAACGGACAGACTCCATCGCCGACGAACACGACCTTGACGACAGCAGCCGTGGATTCGAATCCCACAACTTACGAACCTGACAAACATCATTATATTTAAAAAGTATGCGATATATTATAAATCAAGTGTACCATTATAAAAATCACCTTAAACAAGGTTTTACTGCAAAGAAAACGTTGCTAGGGAAGAACCTGATAAAACTCTTCCCTAACAAAAGTTCCTGCAGTGGCACTGCCAGGCAAAACTGAAATAAATCTCGCATGCTACTTCAATTTTAAATCCCTTGTCACGAATTACTTTCTACAGAATTAACATATAATGTGACTGAGAACGGGCACAGGAAAAAAATTATTATAAACAGTCAAGGATAATGATCAGTTCAACTTTTCCCAAAGGATATAAATATGTATAAAATAACTGAAGCGCGTATAGCCTCAGGATATTGTTATAAACTTCAAACATTCTTATATATCTTCCACCTGTCAACACAGAGGTGTCACTCACCTGCTCGACAACAGAGATGTGTAGGGGGACTCGCCCCCCGTCGGGGGTGGTGACGTGAGGAAGGGAGCGGAACTGCTCCAGGGAGAGACTAGAGAGGTTATACGGCAGGTTGTTGAGCAGTGGAGGCAGGGTTGGGTCTACCGTCCTGCCACAGGTAACATCGGATCACCACACGTCATTTGGGGCCACCAGGGAAGAAACACGGATCACCACACGTCATTTGGGGCCACCAGGGAAGAAACAGTCAGTAAAATAACAAGTGCTTAGCGCAAGGCATTTTATGAGTTCGTGGATGAAGCTTCCTTCATGAGCATGGCGTCATAACTGCCATACTTTTCCTACGATTTCCCCCTTTTAGGAAAAAACGTTATTAATGGTTTTCTAGGTCTAGTTATAAAATGATCCGACTTTTCTTTCTGGTAACTAATGCATGAGGAAATCATTGTAACTGACCAGCATCTCGTATCAGCTCCCTGGGTAGCATTTTATTATAAATCAAAATTTTCGCAGCAGCATTCACTACTGTAACTGCTGCTGCTGTTGCTGTTACTGCTCCTACTGCACTTGCTATGGCTGTTTGTTGCAGCTGCTACCACCAGCAACACCTTAAAGCTAATATTATATCTATATCTACACCTAGTTCAATTATTAGTCTAGTCCAGTTCTACTACTATATTACAATACGGAGGTGGCACCATCACAGGAGCCACCACCCGCGGGATGTGCCACCACCTGCAGGAGGGGCCAGGTCTGTGCCACGTACCTGCGACGTCGACGTCCTGCGGCAGGAGGGACGCAGCAGGAGGCGGGAGAGGCGACACACAGATTGAAAAGGCCCAGGAGGTAGAGTGCGGTCAGCACGGAGGTGGTCACTGCGCCCGAACAAGACCCAGCACCAGCCCGAGCCGCCACCTATGGTCACCCATGGGAAGGGGGGGAAGGAATGTTACACAAGAAGCATCACTGGTAGTCACAGTAATATATTTAAAAACAAACGTAAACCAGTACGAGTTAATACGGTAATGTACGCGACAGAGCATGAGAAACTGTAAACTCTTAGGCAATACTTTTACACGCTGTGGGGTGGGGGAGGTCCCATCACTCGTCCTAGCAGAATGATTGGTCCTCACACCTGGAGCACTAAGGGGCCTTCACTCACCCCTGGAGCACTACAGGGCCTTCACTCACCCTTGGAGCACTATGGGGCCTTTACTCACCCTTGGAGCACTATGGGGCTTTCACTCACTCCTGGAGCACTATGGGGCCTTCACTCACCCCTGGAGCACTATGGGGCCTTCACTCACGTCTGGAGCAAACAACGAGGGACCATTACTTACCTCCTGCAAGGACCTCCAATCACTCAGGTCCGAGTGCTTGAGAGCATCAACATAAGCGAGTGTATCAGCCTCTGACGGGAAATTTGGGTGTAGCAGGGACTCGTGGGCGGCGGGTGGGAGGTAGGCGTAAGGCGGGAAGTGAGCTGGGATGGTGAAGGGGGGCGTAACGCCCCCTACACCCACACTAGCAGCCAGGGCGGCCTGGATGATGGGCGGCGGCCCGGGCATGACGCTCTGTGGCCGCCTCACTCACTGCGGCCCGTCATCCTGCTGTAGGAGGGCACACATTAATCGTCATCTAGCATCCTGCTGTGGAGACACATTAACCAACATGTCACATATCAGGTCATCCGGCTATTGGAAAATAAGTTAAAAAGAAAACCCGCTTAGACATAAGAAATTAAGCGTTTACTAATGAAAGGTCAAAAATACTGTAAGTCACACGATCATAAACGAGCAATAACTAACCAATAGTAAAAATCTATCACACTAAGAAATATTTTTTCCGTAGAGGTCATGTAGCGCTTGAGAATGGGAGGCATTCAGATCCAATTCAAGTGGGATAAGTACAATTCCTTGGATCAAGAGCCCCTCATCAATATCAAGGCACCTCAGTTAAAGTGACACGTAATACAGCAATAAATATGCTCACTAGGTGACAATATCCATACTTAAAAATGACAAATAGCTACCGTTATGGGCATCACCTAAAACTTTTTCCCTAGGTCCCAAATGTTACTCAAAAAAAATGAATAAACCAGCCTTAACCGGTAGGAAATTATTAAAATAAGTGCTAGTGAGCCACACCCCTCAAGCCGCGCAGAGAAAATTGGGATCAGCTGATAAAGTAACAGTCAGCGATGTGGACCACAACATCGAGCTCCACAGTGGACATACGAGAGCCGCTTAGTGACTGGGAATAATGCTAATCTTCGTTCACCATTAAGCTTTCGTACCTCCTGTCTTTGTACTCTGATACATGGATAGAGTCATTTCCCCTAGAGCAGTGGTTCCCAAACTTTTTCAGCTTGTTACCCAATTTAACATGCCACATAAAGCATGTTACCCCCTTCACAAAATGCTGTTATTATTGATATATATGGCTGTATACGTGAACGTATACAGCCTCGCATACTCTGCTAATCCTAGCAAAACCATTGAAAACGTAAGAACCACACATACATTATATATAAAATTAATAATAGCTACAAATTCACAGTAACAGTGGGTAAATACTAACTATATGCTGCACAGGGCAGTACACATACATACCAGCTTATGTCTACCTCGGCTGATGCTCACAGATAAACTGACAGTGTGAAATAGAGGCAGCCTCAGGAAGTGAGTGACGCGTACTGGACAGGTCGATCTGGGCTACTGAGTGACTTTTGTCCTGAAGCATACTTGTCAAAATACTTTTGGGTTTCCACACACTTAACTATATATTTCTTCTTTTCTAATACTGTATATTAGTTTTTGATGTTTATTTTAATTTGGTTTAACTTTATTACTTACTTATAATACGTTTACTTTACAACTTTATATACTAAGACAAAGTTAACAATAATCCTCATACCGGGTACCGCATTGTTTTTTTGATTTTCAGAATTCATAACTTTTTTTCTGTCACCCCTCCATTACCCCCCAAAAATGGTTAAATTACCCCCAGGGGGTAATTTACCCCCAGTTTGGGAACCACTGCCCTAGAGGAATGAATCAAGCCATACTGATGAAGGGTAAAGCGAGCCTCATTCCATTTGCAAGCATCCTATTCCCTACTGCATCTCAAAGACGTAGTACAAACTGGATTGCCAGGCATGCATTGAGCCTGAAGAAAGTATTAAAGCCCCAGGTCAAGGGCAGACTGATTTACCAGAATCGACAAAGAGGCTCTCATCAAGGAAGAAGCATTCACAAGCTATCACATGGAAACTAATATCCAAATTTTAATAAAAGCTAACAAATTAGGACATACACAGCCCAGCACAAATTCAAACTTCACCAAAAAAGATCAGCTTTGTGTTTAAAGCCAAAATTAGAGGCATTCTGTAGTTCTCACATAAATTAATATCCGATAATTCACTAACACTAAACCTGAAGCCGCTCAAGAAGTTGCATTATCAAGTTACTGGGCTGAAGGTTTGAAGCCAATCGGATGGGGAAATCGCAAATTATCTGAATCTTAAATTTTCCCAATTTCAATAAAAATGACAACATTAAGCAGTTATTAAGTTTTATTAACTCTTATTTAGGCTTTGGATACATAACATGCAAATCTGTTACAATGGCCTTGAGGGCACGTATACACCATGGGTTTATAATAATAATATGTAGCTTTAATAATAATAAATAAATCCCAGGTGCGGCGTGAAAGCACCAAAACTCTACTTTCCAGAGCACATCAGTTCTAGGGCGTGAGCGGGTGTGGTTTTTGACTGCCACCGCCTTAACAATACTCGCTCCTGACCAATCTTTTGCCCTACAGTGGCCGGCAGTGCCAAGTCCTTTTCGTCCCCTTCCTACTTACCACATGTCACTGTATACACTGGCCAGGAAATACCTTCCCTCCACAGCCCGAGCCTTCTTACATCACGTACGCGCTCGCTCTGATTGTCTCTTCCACGGATCAAACCAGGGGCAAGACTTGACAAGCCTGCAGCTCTGTTTATACCAAAGGGACCTTCATAAGGATTCAGATCCATCACATAAGGGATTGGGAAATGTTATGATCCATACAAATTTACCGTGTTTCGGAATATAATAGCTGATAGGGAAATCATGGATTAGATAACCCATGTTAAATTCGATGGAACGTATATCTAAAAAAGTAATCACCAGAGTGAAAGCATCAAAACCGCAGTATTTAGCCCGTGAACATACTGGAAACACATGCATTAAGTATATATTCTAAGAGGCGTTTCAATACTTCAACCGAGAGTATATGGGGTATATTCCAGTACGGTATATCTTCAGTGAGAAGTTACTTTTAATCCCTATTTTAGGGATTAGGGTATTCTTGAATGGAAGCACACAAATGATATACAACCAGTTCAATTAATGACCTTCGTGCAGTCGACAGGTTTCAAAACCAACCAACCAATGCTTGCAGATGGTAAAGGTGTTATAACGAGTCCAACGCTCAAGTGTGCAGAAGCATTCTACAAGATGCAAGTATATCTGGTTTACGAGAGTTCAATTCTACTCCCATAAACGTTATTTAAATATTAACTGTCACAAAAACATGCTTCCGTGTATACTTGTACGTATCTAGACATGTATACAAGTATGCACCAGATTGGTGTATACACACATACAAGTATACACCGATTCGGAGCCCGATGTCTTCATTTTAAGCTTAATCGTATATTTTCGTAAAGCCTATCAACTAAAATGAGAGCCACTACGCCTAATTCCTCAATTAGGAATTAAACCCGCTGCATGTACACACAAATATACATCTCTCGGTGCAAATACCCTTTATATACATTAATGTATGTAAATTTTGACCACTGTCTTCGTCGTAATTATAGTTCTCATTTAAAACTGATATATATAAATTCAAGAGCAGAACACAACATAATCCAACCTTATCGTCCACTTCAATGATCTTTCTTACTGCATTCCACAAGCACACACATGCCGGCTGGCGTTGCCCACAAGCACGCACATGCCGGCTGGCGTTGCCCACAAGCACGCACATGCCGGCTGGCGCTGCCCACAAGCGCACACATGCCGGCTGGCGTTGCCCACAAGCGCACACATGCCGGCTGGCGTTGCCCACAAGCACACACATGCCGGCTGGCGTTGCCCACAAGCACACACATGCCGGCTGGCGTTGCCCACAAGCACGCACATGCCGGCTGGCGTTGCCCACAAGCACGCACATGCCGGCTGGCGTTGCCCACAAGCACGCACATGCCGGCTGGCGTTGGCCACAAGCACGCACATGCCGGCTGGCGTTGCCCACAAGCACGCACATGCCGGCTGGCGTTGCCCACAAGCACGCACATGCCGGCTGGCGTTGCCCACAAGCACACGCACATGCCGGCTGGCGTTGCCACAAGCACGCACATGCCGGCTGGCGTTGCCCACAAGCACGCACATGCCGGCTGGCGTTGCCCACAAGCACGCACATGCCGGCTGGCGTTGCCCACAAGCATTGTTCTACGCAGTGGTAACCTTGTTGACTGACGCTCCTGACGTCACATTAACCATCTTAAGCTCTACAACCCTCTATTATTCCACTATTTGTTACCTTCGTATTCATATTTTTCAAGCTTTATACACACGCACAGAAAACAAATACATCAGACAGTCTCCTCCTCGTACCCTCATCAACAACAAAAAAACTTAGTCGACGTCTGGTCAAACACCCGCTAGTGGGATGGGATGTTGGGGGACAAAATCTCAGCCTTTAGCCATAAGGTCACCACAAGCGTAATGTTAACCAGATAACCAACGTATGACCGCTGGTGGTTGGCTTAAATTTGTCCTGCGTCAACACTGCCCCAGCTGAGACACTCCTTACGTACAGTTGAAGCTATTTCGACCCGGTGAATTATCTTTTAGTTTTATTTCTCATCTATTTCCCTGAACTCTTCCTTTTCAACTTATTTCTTCAACCTTCACTCCCCACTCACATTTCTAACAAATATTATTTATATCTCTTGACTGCTGCCACTATAACTCATTTTATCTTTCCCAAGCTTCTCCCATATCATTATTGGTCTTCCTAAGCGCCTGCGGCTGGCGTTGCCCTACCCAGTCATTGACGGCTAGTCGTGAAGTCACGCTCATTGGCGGACTGGGGTTAGACAGCCTCCATTCCCTTTAGCCAAAGGCACCAAAGAGGCATGGCACTGCCCAGCTAGCAGGCACTGCGCGGCGTGCCCAAGCAACTCGCTGTCCAACAAAGACCACTAGCCTACTTCCACAAAATTAATTTTTTTCCCAACCAGAGCCCATTGATGAGTCATGCTGGAAGATTTTTCCAGCTCGTTTTTTATATCCTTAATCATGTCCCTGTGTTGTACGAAAATTGGGTTAAAA